TAGACATTTGGGTTTTGCAAAATTAGTTTGAAATGTAAATGAGAAATGGGAAAATGCCTTTGGGCTAAAGAGGAAAAGTCTCTTGTTGGTTTAATGAATGCACATGTAAAATATCCCACATTGCTAAGGAAAAACATTTTCATGTAATATATAAAGGAGTGAACATGTGTATAAGTTCAAAACATTAGAATACATGCTGCATGCATGAGATGAGAAGAGACCACAAGCACGTTGAACCGAACCGGGCAAGGCTTGGCACGTACTCCGGCCGAGGTCTCGTGATCTCGTGATTATCAGTGGTTGTATCTTGGGTCTCTAGAATTAGTGATTCAAAGAGTTAAGGAAAGAGATTTATCTCGTCTCCACTGCTTTTTTTTTTCTCTTAAGGTTTCTCTTATTGTCATTTTCATAGTGCTCCACATTTTTGGTCCTACACTTTTTTCATGCAGGCTCTACAATATATGCACCGACATTTCCCCCAAAACATGCTGATCCTTTATCCTCCTCTATCGTTTTTTCTCTCTCAAACAGAATTCATGCAATCGAACCATTCCTCAATGCCTCCGTTGAATGGAGGATTAAAAATGCAAGTATATATAATGTATTTGTTGTTGCATTGTAATTCCGCAATCTATATATAATTGCAGCATCGATTCTTTCGTTTTTGCATTCATCTGATCTTGTTATTAAGTTTTGAACAGAAGACGCATGGCTACGGGAGTGATCTCCACAATCTTGTCCACATGAACCATGGAATTGGTGCTGCACCCAATCATGTAGATGCAACAGGTGAAAAGCCAGATACTTTCCGTAAGCCACCTAGTACTTAAAAAAACAGCTAAAGCATTTCATGTTTATCTCATCTTACAGCCAACTTGTAGGTGGAACCGTAGATGCTTTTTCTTCACTTTGTACTCAGCTTTGGCTGCTATAATCGAGAATTTTATTAACTTCAAACCAAAGATTGAAAATGAAACAGGGAAGGAAGCAGATCTTCTCTTTGTAACCTGAACAGCTCCAGATACAGAGTCGAGAGTAAGAGCAGCAAGATTGTGTAATGGAGACGTTCCTAGTTATCGATTTTTCCCTTTCCACTCTCTTTCATGTTTCACTAAATTTTGCTCTCGCAAGACATAGCAACCTTTGTAACAATCTAAATAGCCGCATGAGCAACAGAAATGTCAGATTATAATCCTCTACAAATACCATTTCAAGATAAATAGATTCTTTGCCCCTCTCATACTAAGTTCCCTTTGGCATTTTTAAAATGATCAGGATTTGCTATGTAATTCAGCTTCTTTACAGACAAAGGGATCATGCCTAGAGCAAGCAGAGACCCTGATCAATCGGAACTAGCTCTACTTGGAGGCCAAATTTTCCAACACCATTCAAGATTATAACCAAAATATTCCTTGTGCGACTCTGTATTCAAGATTCCAATGTCAAGAATCCGAATTTGATGGACGGGTCAAAACAAGGAAGCTAGATGTGCAGTGCTCGCAAGTATCAATATCTTGAGCTTGAATAGAAGCAAATATTGACGTTAAAGATGGAGGGGAGTGAGACTAGTTTATTAACAATGAAAAATATGTGAAGAAAGAAAAAAATAACATAGACTAAACAAAGTTCTCTATTCTTTTACCTTTTTTTGTTTTCTTCCAATCTACAAGTTATTTATAAAACAAAAGAGGGTAATACAGGGTTTAAGACGAGACATCAGAAATAACCCAAATCCTGAGGGTTATAGAAGTC